CCCCCCCCCCTCCCCCCGCCTGTACAAAACCGCATTTCCTCTGTTGCTGTGTACCCCCCTCTTCTCTTCTCGCGTTAATAATAGAAGGCACGCATCGCAGGACGGGGGAACAGGAAACCTCAGCGGGGAAAGAGGAACCCTTCGGCGTGACCACGGACTGAAGCCCCTACAAAGGTCGCCCCGGTGGTATAGTGGGTAGCCTCGCAGCCTGCTAAGGGCCAGGTCATGGGTTCGAGTCCTGGCAGAGAGAGTTTTTTTCTCACTAAATAAATCCTGGTCTAGGATGAAAGCGACGCGCTGCAAAGCTCGTTTGTTAGTAAACCATAATCGACTTCGTAAGTCGCGAGGGAAGGGATTTCTGTACCCTTCTCGCGATAAAAATACCTCAGGCATGAACCGCAGGAGGGGGTCCAACCCTCCCCTCCTCTGTGACCCCGGTTGGGTCGTCTAGCTGTAGAAGTGGAGGATAGGGGCCAGAGGGGCAGACGACAGAGTCCAATGATGGGAGAAAAACAACAAAACAAATAAGGACCCAGCAGAAGCTTCTTGCGCATAGGCTAACAGGTCGAATCACACGACTGCCGCACACCTCTGGAGCAAGGAACAGCAGGCGATCCCTTGCTGTACTATACTTACAACAACACGAGAGCGGATTTGCAGGATTGTTGTGTTGAAGTTTCCAATATTTCGGCGAATTCAATGACATTATTGTTTTGGGTATTTTTTAACTGTTCAGGTTTTGGCAGTACATACAAAAAGAGCGACAAAAAAAATAAAATACAAATACCTCAGGCACGGCAGTGAGCTTGTCGCCATGGCTCATCCACATCTTGGTGGTTTCCGGCAGCTTTCCCAGAAGCTCCTTGCCGGCAGCCTGGTTGGCCGGTATCCGGGACACCATGGCGTGCCCGTACTCCCTGGCCTCGCCCGCCGCCACCTGGACACAGGTGAACAGGACAGGAGGACACAGAGTTGTGGCGCTTACATAAATTCATCTACTCTGCTCTCCACCTGGACACAACACTGAATTCGAAGCTTTTCTGTTGCTTTTTGTAGGTGATGCTGGCCACTTGATGTTTTTTTTCTGCGTCGGTGGTTTTCTGCGGTGTTGCTGTCCACCGAAAAACAGGCGGACACATGAACATCAATGCTTTCCGCTTGTTTTGTGCGATGTTGCCGCCCACCTGGACACAGGTGGACACCGAACTTGATGGTACTTCTATATTGTTATTCCGCTGTTTGATAATCGTGGCGATGCGGTCCACGTTCGACGTTTTTTTTGCTGCGTCGTCTGTTCGCTGTCCGCCTAGGCATAGAATCGATCTCTTCACTACACCCCTTCATTGTCGGCCACTTGGACAAATGATTGAACCTCGCACAACACCGATGTTCGTGCTTGTACACGTGTGGTTCTCGGTTAATCGATGAGCAGTTGTCTGCTGGTGTTGTCGATGTTGCCATCTGGGGTGCCTCCCGCAAAGAGAAGCAACGGACACGCTGCTGCGAGACAACAACGATCAGCGGATTGTGGACAGCAGTACCGCCCAACGCCACACCGCCACACCGCCACAACGCTTGTCCGCTTTCACGAGGGGTTCGTGTCCTCGACACGACCACACCTACATTTCTGCAGCTTAAACAAGGCGATAGACACCCCCCCCCACAACTCTACCCAAATACGCCGGCAAGATATGAGACGTCAACCAGCAACCAGCAAAAAAATACACAAAATTTCAACCCTCACTTTCTTATTTTTTCGTCCTTCTTAATTATGGCGACAGTCCCCCCATTTTTCGTGGTGAGACGTGTACTACACTTCTCATTGTATGTAGAGTACTGCACTTTTCAGCGTGTATTTTTCGTACAACTACAACCATCCAGGGTCCCACAGCTATGGACTAGTTGTGTTGTGCTGCTGTACAGCATTTCAAGAAAAGAAAAAAAAGGAAGGAGAGTACCTTCCCCCCGAATACGTGTGCCATCTCCTGCATCCCGTAGCAGATCCCGAGAACGGGAATCTGTTGATCCTCGATCATTTTCCACACCTGTAAGAGGGGGGGGGGGGG